CATATGCTTAGGACAAAGAAACAGATGAACTCTACTTCACCTGCCTTGTATCCTTCCAAGTTCAGATAGGCAACTTTATCATTCACATCTTAAAAAAAAAAAAAATATCATTGACATATTGGTCTAGAACCTGTGCCACCCACATGAGAGCGGGCTACGCTACCAACTTAGCTATTTACACGTGACGTCACAAGTGAATTTTTATACTATACTTATGCAACTTGATTTAAGCGCATAGATTCTAGATCTAGATCTAAGTCTAGTAGTACTAACTTTCAAATTAAATTTTATCTTAAATTAGCCAATTCCATAAAAACTGATTATTATCTAAATCTAGATAGAATTATCTATATTCTAGATCTACGACTGAGCTATATCTAGAGTTTACGTTCATAATTTTGCAAAATTAGCAGTATAGAAGCCGCGTATAAATCTTAAATTATGCAAATAGAGGCCATGGAGCGAGCATTTCCTAATTAGCATATTTCATAGCTATACAAACAAAGATTTATATAAAATAAAGAAGGTCTGAAATTATCTAGATCTAGATAGAATTATCTAGATCTAGATTCTACGACTCGTTTGCTTAAGTCTTAAGTTTAGTTTTTCTTGCTAGATCTAGAATCTAGATCTAGATCTAATCATTAGCTACGCTGATGGGCCCGGAGCGAGCATTTCAAAATTACCATATTCCAAACAAAGATTTATATAAAATAATAAAGGTCTAAAATAGTTTAGTATATAGAAAATCACTATTATCTAAATCTAGATAGAATAGAATTATCTATATTCTAGATCTACGACTGGTTTGCTTAAGTCTCTTTTTTTTTGGATTGTATTTAGGCCTATAATCAATAAATATTTGATTTGACCTAGATTCTAGATCTAGATCTATAAATAAATAAATAACTTTCTTGGACAGATTGTAGATCTAGAGAAATTTATCGTAAAACTAAATGAAAAAGACAGTTGAAAATTGATATAAGTGTTGGAACGTAATAAATACAGCAAACGGACGTATTGTTAAAGTTATGACCGACAGAAAATTAGATTTGATTTGACCTAGATTCTAGATCTAGATCTATAAATAACTTTCCTTCGACAGCTGATCTTTAGATCTAGAGAAATTTATTGAAAAACTAAATGAAAAAAGACAGTTTAAAATTGATATAAGTGTTGGGACGTAATAAATACAGCAAACGGACGTATTGTTAAAGTTATGACCGACAGAAAATTAGATTTAGAACCAGTGGCGGAACTAGAAAAAAAGGGCCACCCCGCAAAGAAATTTTTTGGGCCCCATATATATATATATATATAATGTATATATATACATACATATGTATATATATATATATATATATATATATATATATATATATATATATATATATATATATATATATATATATATATATATATGCAAAATACGAAAATACCAACATAGAGTACTCATTTCGGGCTTGTTCGAGTTTTTAAAAAAATTCTTAGTTTCGAAAAATATTAAAACCAGCTACAACAACACGTCATTTGTATGAGAGCTATTAGTTTAGACTGCTATGGGAAAACCTCTGTTTAAATATGTTTTCTATAATGCTTGCTATGAGTAAGTAGTTCAAAAGAATATGAAGCATGAAAGCTTTGTATTTGCAATGGTTTCTTGCGTTATGTTTATGTTCATGTTTTTATTGTATTTATATTATTATTTTTAAATATATTTCATTTTTATGCTTTGTTATTCTTTACAATTAAAAAAAAAATAACTAAGAGAAGTAATTGCTCTTTAATTTGTTTAGTGCAAATCTATTAAAAGGTGCTTAAGAGCACACATATTTGACTTTTTAAAAAAGGGAGATAAGTCATGGAAGTGGTTAGAACGTTTACCTTTCTTTCACGCGATGGATTTATTTTCAAAAGAATTTTGCCGACAACAGCGTGTGTTTGATTGTATGAGAAAGAGGACTCGGGATGGTGTCTATAGAATAAAGATAATGAAACCGAAGCTGCAGTCTTCTTTTTACAAAACACAACCATCAAGTCAAAAAAGCAAGAAATTTTTTTTTTTTTTTTAGCTATAAAAAAAAATGATTATGGTCGGCTGTGGGCCCCTAAACGGCCCGGGCCCCCCCGCATTGCGGGGTCTGGCGGCACTGTAGTTCCGCCCCTGTTTAGAACGCGTTAAACTTTTGAATGGGAACACAATTTTCTTCAATAGACGCCGCCATTTTATTGTACTAAAGAGTAAACAAAAACCTGTGACGTCACTATTCCCACAAAGTTTAGTCAAGGTTTTAACATTTAAAAAAAAAATGGGTTATTCTGCGTATGAATAAATCAATAAATTAATTAACGCCTTTAAATAAATTTGTGATCAACAGTCTGTCTGCATTAAAAAATTATTCTCTACCTGCATACCATTTTACAGCTTTCCAGATAGAGTCGAACATATCACAATTTTCGATCAGGCAAACAAATAAATATTCAAACATGTAAACAAACTTGACTTTTAGTAGTATACTAGAATACCCGTCATCCGTTGGATAACTGTGGGTTTCGGGGGTCATCCATCAAAAAACATCACGTCTGTCACTCAGAGGCATAGCGACCCTTCCTGGCGCCCGGGGACAAACTTTTCGATTTTAACCCCCCCTCCCAAGATTTCAATTTTCAACCCCCCCCCCCCCCCCCTCAAACTTTTGATGTGCACCCCCCCCCCCCCCACTCAAACTTTCGATTTGAACCCCCCTCAACCTTTCAATTTATTTTTCCAAACCATTTTGGCGCCCCAACATATGTCCCCCCGCCCCCCCCCTTCCCCCCTCCACCTCCCTCCACCTCCCCTTCCCCCCCCCCCCCGCCCCCCCCCTCCTCGCTACGCTACTGCAGTGTCACTTATCGTCAAAAAAAAACAGACCCCACTTTCAAAAAATTGTTTTTTATCTTTTAAAAACACCGAAAACACCGATTTCGGACTATCCCTTCATATACTGACTTCATAGGTGACCTACTCAACTCTACTTCACCTGCCCAGTGTCCCGCCAAGTCTCAGACAACATGTTTTTATCGTTTAAAAAACGATTCCAGCCGAGCATGTCTCTGACCACACTATCCTTTCATATGCTTAGGACAAAGAAACAGACAAACTCTACTTCACCAGCCCTGTATCCTGCCAAGTTCAGATGGGCAACTTTATTATTCACATCTAAAAAAAAAAATTGAAAAAAAAAAAATCATTGACGAATTGGTCTAGAACCTGTGCCACCCAGATGAGAGCCGACCTCACTACCAAGTTAGCTATTTACTCTTGACATTATAAGTGAAGTTTTATACTATACTTTGAGTCTCCTTACGCGCATAGATCTAGATCTAACTCTAGTTCTAGTAGTAGTAACTTTCAAATTAAATTTTATCTTAAATTAGCCAAACAAAGATTTATATAAAATAAAGAATAGTATATAGATCGTAAAACAGGCGGTACACAGATCTAGCTCTTGTAGGTGTTCAGTGTGAGTTCTAGTGAAGCCACAATTTTAAATTACTGAGTCGCATCTTGGCTCCATGTGTCTTGTACCACAAGGTAAAAATGATGATGATGACGATGATGATGACGATAATGATGAGTCTCGTCTTAGCGCGTAATAAATGTACGGTCAATCACCTTCAGAAGTACACAAGTTGTTTGGAATTATTAACATTCATTTTTAAAAAGTCACATCTGCCATCAATCTATCTAAAAATATCTCAGTATTCAACTTTCTTTACCAAAGCAATATAAGTAAGGACCAACTGACTCAACCGTATGTGAGATTGCAAACTTGAAGTTACGAGGTAAAAAGATAACGCTACATCAGGTAGACAGAATTTGACATCAACATGTCAGAACTGAACATGACATCATGTTGCTGTGCTCTACCTGTCATGTAGCCTGAATGACATCACAATGTCAGCATCAAACTTGACATCAAGTAAGGAAACATGAACTGGACTTCACCTATACATAGAGATATCAGAACTTAACATGATACTATGCACGTAACATAATATCACAAAGTCAGAGCTTAACATTACGTCACGATATCAGAGCTTAACATGACATCACAATGTCAGAGTTTAACTCGCCAATCTGGAAAACTTGAATGTTATTGCCGTGATTTTTATACCCACAATCCAACAAGTATTGACGCCTTAAAACAAGGACAGCATGTCACTTCAGTATACAAACATCACCACACAACACACGCGATCCTTTTTAAACCCAACAGCCGTCAAATCAAAACAATACAACACTAATTTCAAACAATTAAACATCATTACTCAATTACAAACCAAATCTATACACTGCCATTAAATAATTATCAAATCGCAGTTTGTTTTTCCAATCCATGTTTATTAAATTATCTGAAATGTTTACATACCATGCTTGAGTTGTCAGCTTGTAGTGGCTGTCAGTAAACTTCTACATCAATACAAATAAGTGTTGCGAATCCATCGATTTCTGGCTTAAGATGATGTGTTAAAAAGATAATTATTACCTTCCGTTTCATTAATTTCACTGACAAGCTGTTTGCACTTACCACAATAATTGGCCAACGCTTTCGTCAATTTAGTGCGTTTTGTTTGTATTGATCACTGATTTAAGAAAAATAATTGCACGAAATATCGATTGTATTGTTTGACCCTGTTCACTTGTCCCTAGTGACTAGCAGACGTCACACGCTTGGGTGAATTCATACTGAAAACGTACTCAAAAATATTGTCCATGCACGATTTGAAAGATTTTATTTCAGTACAAGTTTTAAGATAATTAACTCAATTAGTGGCAGGGGGTTAATTATCAGGGGCGATGAACCGTCGTGTTATCAAACAATCGAGAAACTTGATCGACTGAGTTCATACCGTGTACGGTGTATTTGACCTCACTGGCTTGCCATATTGGCTTATATTTTTTGTCTTATAAATTGAAACTGGCCGGGTATTTTAAGTTTTTTGGCCAGCTCCAAGAATGTCGGAAGCTAATAAAACAGAAACAGTTGGCGGTGACAATGTCAGTGACACGACGACACATCACGTGGTGGCAGTTCGCGTCATTGACGGTTTAGTCAGCGATGATATGAGGTTGATCTTTCAGGTTTGTTTGATGATATGGGGTTTCAGATAGTGAACTTCGCCCTTTTCAGATAGTGAACTTAACCCTAACCTGTTTCAGATAGTAAACTTCACCTGTTTCAGATAGTAAACTTAACCCAAACTTGTTTCAGATAGTAAACTTATCCTAACCTTTTTCAGATAGTAAACCTAACCCTAACCTGTTTCAGATAGTAAACCTAACCCTAACCTTTTTCAGATAGTAAACTTCACCTGTTTCAGATAGTAAACTTAACCCTAACCCTAACCTTTTTCAGATAGTAAACTTCACCTGTTTCAGATAGTAAGCTTCACCTGTTTCAGATAGTAAACTTAACCCTAGCCCTAACCTTTTTCAGATAGTAAACTTCACCTGTTTCAGATAGTAAACTTAACCCTAACCTTTTTCAGATAGTAAACTTCACCTGTTTCAGATAGTAAAATTAACCCTAACCCTAACCTTTTTCAGATAGTAAACATCACCTGTTTTAAATAGTAAACTTAACCCTAACCCTAACCTTTTTCAGATAGTAAACTTCACCTGTTTCAGATAGTAAACTTCACCTGTTTCAGATAGTAAACTTAACCCTAGCCCTAACCTGTTTCAGATAGTAAACTTCACCTGTTTCAGATAGTAAACTTAACCCTAGCCCTAACCTGTTTCAGATAGTAAACTTAACCCTAACCTTTTTCAGATAGTAAACCTCACCTGTTTCAGATAGTAAACTTAACCCTAACCCTAACCTTTTTCAGATAGTAAACTTCACCTGTTTCAGATAGTAAACTTCACCTGTTTCAGATAGTAAACTTAACCCTAGCCCTAACCTTTTTCAGATAGTAAACTTCACCTGTTTCAGATAGTAAACTTAACCCTAACCTTTTTCAGATAGTAAACTTCACCTGTTTCAGATAGTAAACATAACCCTAACCCTCACCTTTTTCAGATAGTAAACATCACCTGTTTTAAATAGTAAACTTAACCCTAACCCTAACCTTTTTCAGATAGTAAACTTCACCTGTTTCAGATAGTAAACTTCACCTGTTTCAGATAGTAAACTTAACCCTAGCCCTAACCTGTTTCAGATAGTAAACTTCACCTGTTTCAGATAGTAAACTTAACCCTAGCCCTAACCTGTTTCAGATAGTAAACATCACCTGTTTTAAATAGTAAACTTAACCCTAACCCTAACCTTTTTCATATAGTAAACGTCACCTGTTTCAGATAGTAAACTTCACCTTTTTCAGATAGTAAACTTCACCTGTTTCAGATAGTAAACTTAGCCTGTTTCAGATAGTAAACTTAACCCTCACCTGTTTCAGATAGAAAACTTCACCTGTTTCAGATAGTAAAGTTAACCCTAGCCCTAACCTTTTTCAGATAGTAAACTTCACCTGTTTCAGATAGTAAACTTAGCCCTAACCTTTTTCAGATAGTAAACTTCACCTGTTTCAGATAGTAAACTTCACCTGTTTCAGATAGTAAACTTCACCTGTTTCAGATAGTAAACTTTACCTGTTTCAGATAGTAAACTTCACCTGTTTCAGATAGTAAACTTCGCCTGTTTCAGATAGTAAACTTAATCCTAACCCTAACCTGTTTCAGATAGCAAACTTAACCCTCCCCTGTTTCCGATAGTAAACTTCACCTGTTTCAGATAGTAAACTTTACCTGTTTCAGATAGTAAACTTCGCCACCATCTGCCAACTTATCGACGTGTTCGGGACTGTGACAAACGTCATCAACTTGATCGTGTTCGTCAGGCTCGGGTTCAACGACCCCGTCAACGTCAGCCTCTTCGGTCTGGCACTGTCTGACCTGGGCTGTCTGGTTACCTTGATCTGGCTCAACACCTGCTTCAACCCGCTCTTCAACCAGTCCGACATCCCGTTTGAAGCCATGGAGGTGCAGTACCTGACGGCGGGCTGGCCGCATGTTAGCTTTACCCGTATCACCAGTTGGATCACGGCCTGTATCACGTTTGAACGGTGTCTTTGTATCACGGTGCCCCTCAAAGTTAAGACCATTGTCACTTCAAAACGAGTCGGGGTTATTATTTTGATTATTTATATCATCCTCATAGCAAGTACAGGACCGGTGTACTACGTGAATAGGTTCGCCTGGAAATTTTACCCCGATAGGAATAGAACTCTTATTGGACTCGTTTTCACCGAAGACAGGGAAGCGATTGAAAAAATTCTGTTCGCAATTCACAGCGTTTTCATCCCATTTTCAGCTTTTGGTACGGTCATTATTTGCACCGTAGTTCTAGTCGTCAAGCTCAATGAAAAAACAAAATGGCGAAAAGCCTCCACCGCGCAGGGCAAGTCTGATAACGTGTCCAACCGCGATCAAAAGGTCGCCCGAATGATTGTTATGATTTCCACATTGTTTATCGTCTGTTTCACGCCAATGACCCTGTTTTTCGTGGCGATGATTGTCGAACCGGAACTCTCGATTACTGGGGGGTACAGAAATATTTTTTTCATCGTTTCGTCTTTTTCCTTCATACTGGAATCGACCAACTCGTCGCTGAATATTTTTATTTATTATTCAATGAGCAGCAAGTTCAAGGCCGAGTTCAATAAGATGTTCTGTATTGAAGGGAAGGTTGACTTGAAAGATGATATGTAGATCTAGTAGAATCGTGTTTTTATTTTTATGTAGTTGTCACCTTTGTAAGACTCGTAGACGTACCCTAAATCGAATCTGTGATACTGTGAGAAATCTGTTTTTTTTTTAAATTTAAAAACTCAGACCTTGGCAATTAAAGAATCGATACAGGTATCAATGGAGATTCGATTATTGGGATATAACTCACCAAAAAAATAGCCATAGGTCTATAACTTTCTTGTTTAGGTTTTTATAATTTAAACATCCAAAACGAAAATAAATAAAAATATTCTAAAAATAATATTTTAACTGTTGAATGATTTTTAAAAATATTTTTTTGTTGTTGTATTAGTTAGCTCATTCAAAACAAAACAGCAAAGGTTTCAGTTTGAAACTGTAAGCACTCGGTAAGTTTAACTTGTTTAACTTCACGTGTTCGGATTTAACCTATGCAAAAGTTGGTTAAAGTTATGGTTTAACAACTTGTCACAAACAGAAAATGTATAGTTTACTTATCAACATGAACAATGTATGACACAAACTTCTAACCTAGCAACACATTCTCACTCATACAAAACATTTTCACTCATACAAAACATTTTCACTCATACAAAACATTTTCACTCATACAAAACATTTTCACTCATACAAAACATTTTCACTCATACAAAACATTTTCACTCATACAAAACATTTTCACTCATACAAAACATTTTCACTCATACAAAACATTTTCACTCATACAAAACATTTTCACTCATACAAAACATTTTCACCCATACAAAACATTTTCACTCATACAAAACATTTTCACTCATACAAAACATTTTCACTCATACAAAACATTTTCACTCATACAAAACATTTTCACTCATACAAAACATTTTCACTCATACAATACATTCTCACTCATACAAAACATTTTCACTCATACAAAACATTCTCACTCATACAAAACATTTTCACTCATACAAAACATTTTCACTCATACAAAACATTTTCACTCATACAAAACATTTTCACTCATACAAAACATTCTCACTCATACAAAACATTCTCACTCATACAAAACATTTTCACTCATACAAAACATTCTCACTCATACAAAACATTCTCACTCATACAAAACATTCTCACCCATACAAAACATTCTCACTCATACAAAACATTCTCACCCATACAAAACATTCTCACACATACAACACATTCTCACACATTCACACACATACAACACATTCACGAACAGATATGGTGACCTCCTGACTATGGCGACCTGATTGTGGTGACTTACATTACAGGAGAGATGACTTCCAACACGGTGGGATGTCGTACTTGTGTCTTAATGGTGTCTATCTGCGTGTGTCTTATGGATGTCTATATTGTGAGTGTCTGAGGGATAGGATATGATGTCCGTCTATCCATCACAATCGTACTGTTCACATTCACAGACCTTTTTCTGGAAGTATTTTTTTACCCGAACCCAGTACCATCTACTGTATTAATTTACTGAAGAGGAAATGAGAAGGAACTGTTACAGAAACATCAGGAAAAAGTAACTCTCGACTACATGGTAGCCTCCCTTGGTTGTGTGTGTGTGTGTGTTTGTGTGTGTGTGTGTGTGTGTGTGTTGGGTGACAGGCACAGGTAACCTTTAAGTGTGTGTAGTTGTAGCCCTTGGTTGTGGGTGTTGTATTGTGGAATGGTAGGTGTTGACGTGGAGGTTGTCAGTTGACGAATGTGAAGAAGTGTGTAAGATCAGTGGTATTCTAGTGACGTATCTCAGCTGTGTCAAGCATGCCTCACTAAGACAATGGAAAATTCAAGTTAAATAAAAGCTCGTAAAAAATGTATAACCCGTCTCCACATTATTGATCATATTATTGATTTCCATTATGCTTTTCAACATTCAACTTTATTATTCTTTGCCTTAAGGCCCGGGGGATAAAAAGGTTCTTTTGTCCCTTGACGTTAAATTACGTTCCAAGTATAAACATTCTTTCTTCTTCTTCCGCGTTCTTAATTTTTAGTGTTGGGAAGAGATCCCCCCCCCCTCCCAATATAATTAAGTATACGTGTCAACTTGTTATGCGTCGTCTAGGCCGTAGACTCCAATAATAGCTTGGTTTTAGTTTTGGATTTGCTTCCATAGCTTTTGCCAAACAAGCTACAAGGCCGCACTAGGCCTAAATATAAATCAATATAGACGGTTTTTTTATTTTTCCAAGAAAAAAAATTGGGTTTTCCCGGAAAAAAACGTAGCTGCTGTGAACATAAACGTAAGCGCCCAAAAATACAGCAGTGAGGAATATCGACACAAATGTAGTCACAGTACATTATTTGAATGAAACAATTAGCGATGTTACTGTTAACACACTTGGTAAGTTCGTTTTCTGTACCATTGTAGAGTAGAACATTCGCATTGTACATAGGCCAAAGTTCAAATTCTTACAAAATTCACATGCAAACAAGCTAGCTAGCGTATGGTTTGATTAAGGGCCTTGGTTACAGTGAGTTAGATGTAAAAAAAACCTGTATTTGTAATAATGTTTCAAGTCATCTACGGATGAGTAAAGGGTTTTGTGTAACTCTGCTGCGATAAGGAAGCGTTATGTGTGTCATGGTTGATGCTATTTTTAGGTCATTAGACTAAACGACCTTCATGTGTTTGTCAGTAAACGCGGTCAGTATTGGGTTAGAATAGATATTAACAGCTGTCTGATGTTGAGCACTGATCTACTGTATTAGTTTTGATACGTTACATAAACACGGCAGTTGTAATTTTTTAAAGTAGACTTTTTAATTAAAGTGGAAATTTATTTACATAGTTGAAAAAAAAACTAGAATAGCTGATAATCCAAGAGTCGAGGGATTAGAGTTAATCCGATTCCATAACCAGAACAAACGTATGTGTGCCTGCGCGATGACTAGTCTTAACACGCAGGCTTGTCACAACTTATACTTGACAAGACATATTGCTTTACAGAGAGAGTAGCGTGGGACAGAGATTTGAACCCACGCCTTTCATAAGCTAAACTCACCTACTCATACCATTGTCCCATCAATCTGCAGGTTGTGATGATGTTGGTCCACTACACAGGTTCGTTCCTTCTGGAAAAGTCTCCTAGCCAGAAACATAATCTGGAGGAGCCATTTCCATATTTTAGAGAAGAAGGTCGAGATTTTGTCATGGAGTGTACTAGTGACGACATCAAGTATGTTGGTTGTCTGTTTTATAAATATCTAATATATTATACGTTGGTATTGATTTATAATTTATTATGTTAAAAGTGGTTGAAGTTTATCTTATTGATATTTCTTTTTGTTAAAAACAAAAGTTATTCGATCCAAAAATTTTTTAAATGTAACTTCTCAGCGACACACACGTGTGGACGATAGCTACGCCAAACGGGAAGAAAATATTCGACAGGTGTTGTGGCGCTGATACCTGTGACAGACACCGCCATCTTGACAGTTCGGTCAAGGTCATGTGTTACGTCAACGGCACCAAGACCCACAGCAGACTACGGATAGGGAAGATAACTCAAGCACACAGGGACAACTCCATCCAATGCCGCGCCTTAAAGAACGGCAACCCGTCCTCGACAATACAAGTCAGATCTGCTCGCCTGATGACTTTCCACAAGCCCCGTAACCCGCTGTGTCAAGTCCTACCCACGGGAGAGAACAGTCACAGGGTCACGTGCACAGCCCCCGGGGGCTACCCGGAAATGACGTGTAACATGACGCAGTATGAAGAAGACCAACAACGCAAGACTATCATTGACCGACACTTCAACTACTCGTATGTCAAGTCGGACAAACACCCTGACCTTTTGACGACCGTTTGCTCCATCGACCTCCCCTACCTGACCCCGGGTAACTACACGTATTTCACCGTCTTCGCTCCAAACTTGACAACATACGTCAGAAACGCCTCCACCCCTGCCCCGCCCACTCAGACAGTCTAGGTGCCAACATCCAGACGACAGGTGCTAATCGAGCACCACGTTGACAGCCCACACCGTTTGTTAGTTACCTGTCGAGCTCTCGGGTTTACAAACAGCTCACACGTCGCCATCTCCATTTGTTTCGACTCCACATGTGAAACCTTGCGGCAGGAATCTGCGGATGTCGACGGCAGTTACCTGCTCACAAAAATGTTTGAACCGAATTCTAGTCGAGAAGAACTCGACGTTTTATGTATCTGCAGCACCCCCGACTTTGATGTATCTAACATGACTTATATAAACAAAACAAACCTAGACTTACTATACCCAGAATTCCCTGATACAACTACATATGTGGCGTTTGTGACGGTTATTCTAATAATAAGCATGTTTGTCGTTATAGCCGTAGTTAGAGCAGTATGTCTACACAAGATGCAACAAAAACATAAATATGGGAAAAAATTTGATCAAAACATAGAATATATTAAAGTACCCAAAAAATAAAAATTCAACAAAAATTAAAAACAAAATATTGTAATATTTAGCGAACTATTACTCTTGATTAATATTGAGACTAGAATATACAATTCTTATAAACAGTTAAATGAATAAAATTATGACAAGAACCTTTCGACTTGAGTCACCATCTCTTGAAACAACGGGATGTCTTGGCACGTTAAAGAAACAAACAATCATTTCTCAACTGTTTTTCGCTATCATTGTTCTAGCTGTTGTTTACATATATAATCTACTTAATTTCATTTTTAGACATACATTTTTAAACTGTTTGTAGAGTTACATTAGACGAAACTAGTTATAGTGTATCATCTCTTTAACCTACATTGATTTATTTTAGAATTAAATTAAGTTTCCAACCCTTCTTTAAAGATTATTGTAGGCTGCTTCTACTTTTTAAATATAGATCTATACAGTTTAATCAAATTTTGTCTTATCTAATTATACAGACTATTTTAAGAATGTATAATTACGTGACAAATCGTTGTATGAAAATGTTGTATCACTTGTTTACGTGAAGTATCGCTTATTTGAGGTCTTTTTAATGTTTTCTTTTTTTTACGTAATACCTAAATGTTGGCGTACAGTAATTTTAGCTTTATTTGTCAACAGTTTTGTCGCATGAAAGTATATAGAGCGTTTTTAAGACAGAAATAATTATTTACAGAACCTTGGTATTATATGTATTTATTTTGTTTTCAAATAAATATTTTAAGTGTTACGTCTTCGTGCATCTCCCAATGTATGATCTTCATCAGTGGCGTAGCTAGGAATTTGTCATGGGAGGGGTTCAAACATTTTCCCAAATGTAAAAATGCACACACACACACACACACACACATACATACATACATATATATATATATATATATATATATATATATATATATATATATATATTTATATATATATATATATATATATATATATATATATATATATATATATATATATATATATATATATATATATATATATATTAGCATGCTTGGTGTATTGAATACATATTTAAAGACATTATTGAATGTAATTCGAGATACTAGGGTTTGGGTTCGGGAAAGGGGGGGGGATACGGGGCATAATTCCCTTGTGTATGTTCAATTGATCCAAGATCAATGGTCCGTGTACTGTGTGTTAAGCAATTGAACGGAGAGCGCGAAATCTTTTACAAGTCGATCCAACAGCCTACAGGTCTTATCGTCACGGATGTTGTCAATAGAAACACATTTTTAAATAAACCAAGGGGAATTCCCGCTAGATTTAGTTTTCTTAAAAAAAAAAACGGTGATTACAAATACAGGTATCGATCGGTATTTATAGAACTGAATTCAGCTGTGAAAAAAATATCAACATAAGCTTGAAGTGTACATGGTTCCATGCTAGGAAGGCTTTTTAAAGATATAAATCTTTAGAACTGCCAAATCGGCTTAAAGTAACATTACATGTAATGAATCGTTTTTGGTAAAATCCCATTTAACTTTTCCTGGAAAAATGTAGGGTTGGGAAGGGGGTGGATTTGTAACACATTTAGATGAGAAACAGAAAGTGTTTGTGGTTAGAAATATCGAATGGAAGCAAACAACTACAAGCAACCGATTTTAATCGAACATACCGCCTCTATTGTTTTATCTTTGCTGCTGAAGTTGTTATTGTGGCTGCTGGTGTTATTGCTGTTGTGGTTGCTGTTGTGCGTGTGGTCGATGTTTTGGTTGCTGCTGTAAACCACAAATAATTTTATGAATAAACACGAAAAAATAAACTTTCCAAGAGTTTCGTTCTATGGTCTGGTTGGTTTTTTTTTAAATAAAGGAAAAAACACCTAAGAAATTGAAGTGACTTGACTTAAGACTTTGGTTCCCGATATCCATTCGCTAACAGACCCGTAATGGTAAGTAAATACATGATTACTTGCTTTATTTATAAATTATAAAGAAATTAAAAACGTAGGTAATGCATTAAATTTTTTAAATATACTTTTAATAATGTTAAAATTAAATTAAAATAAGTTAAATTTTTCCCTGGCTGTAAAGACTATAAATATTAGTCTGATTTTATTGTAAAGGTACATTTAGAAGCTATTCCTAGTTTTTACTAATAGGTGGTCAAACCACCAATGGTCTAACCCCTCTGGTCAAAAACTATCTAATGAAACCCCTCTGGTCTAACCCCTGTGGTCAAACCACCTATGGTCAATCCCTCTCTGGTCATACCCCTATGGTCTAACCCCAACCCCTATGGTCAAAGCACCTGGGGTCAAAGGTCCGTGTACTTAATATATATATATATATATATATATATATATATATATATATATATATATATATATATATATATATATATATATATATATATATATATATATATATATATATATATATTGTGTACTCACTCATCTCTTCATCTCATGTGATCAGAGATTCTCCTGTAGTTTCCGCACTGTCACAGTGATCTACTGCCTGCTGCTCCCTGCCAGTACCTGCACACAGTGTCCACCTGCACAGGAGGGGAGACCTTACACCTTGACATGCCACACAGACCTCACGGGGTAGATTGTTTAACATTTGGATGTTTATTTTAAAGTTGCTGTTAGTTTACTTTTTAAGAAATAACTTGGAAAATCTTCGCTGTCTCATTGACCTAATTGAATGACTTTTTACCAAATTAATCGAGGATTATGAAAGAACTAATCATATTCTTTAACTTAAATGCAATGATACTCATAATAATTTATTATATTTCGTTTTCACGTGCAGTTGTCAATAATTTAATTTCCGATGAAAAAGTTTTTAAAATAATTTCTTTAATTTTGTTTTGTGTGAAAAATAATTGTATAGCTTTTTAATATTTCTTTAATTTTGTTTTGTGTGAAGAAGAATTGAATAAGTTTTTAATATTTCTTTAATTTTTTTTGTGTGAAAAAGAATTGAATAAGTTTTTAATATTTCTTTTTTTTGTTTTGTGTGAAAAAGAATTGAATAAGTTTTTAATATTTCTTTAATTTTGTTTTGTGTGAAAAATAATTGTACAGGTTTTTAATATTTCTTTAATTTTGTTTTGTGCAGCGGCGGCATCCTGTGGGTTTTAAGCGATGGCCGCGAGGTGCCCCCATGTGACCACACCCAGAGTGGCGCGTGCCGAGTCAACCACGGCAGGTTTGGTTTGACTTTCACGCGCACACACAGTAATCTGACCCTGGCCAATGTTGGAGCAATAGACAGGAACACGGAAATCAAATGTGTCAAAGTTCAAGGTGACAAGCGACGTCAGGATTTGCTCGTGTGCCGGATGCGTGTTTTCTTTAAACCGGAATCAGCAGACTACAATGTCGTCATCACCGGAAACGACAGCTTACGTCTGACGTACACGACTGGAAAAATCTACCCGGGGTTGACGTGTAACGTCACGCAGTACGAGATGACGTCAGGTTCAACGCGAGTCATCGACAGCGGGTTTGTCTACAACGACACGATGGATGAAAGTAGTCCCGGTTACTTCATGTCTTCATGCGCGATCGACATAGTCAACCTTCGACGCGGTGTTTACTTATTTTTTGCTGTTGTCGTTCCGAAACTCGATATGTACGTGAGAAACGCATCTTTCCCAGTTCGACAAACTAATGCTTTAAGTATCCCGGCATTTTTTGAAAACACACAAACCAAAAAACTTAATACCACAACGGATGTTGAACAGGCTAAGAGATTCTATACTGCTAGCACTACAGAAAACACACAACCTACGGCCACGTGGCCCACATTCTATAGAACAACAAAGATACAAACTTGCGCTGGTTTAAACAACTCAGTAGTGTATATCAGTGAAGCTGATGGGTTCGAATCCCATTTGGATTATACAAAATATTTACTATCGCGTGGTGTGCTTGATGTAAACGATACGCCAAGCTGTAAATTCATTAACACGGATCGACCAATCAAAAATATAGTTATGTGTAGGAATCAATTACTAGAAAATAAAACATCTCGCGTTTCGGAGCTAAAAATAGAAACTTCAGCCTTAGCTGTTGGCTCTTTACAATTCTACATTAACGACTTTAAACTGCAGTCCACAGTTCAGGTCAAACCATCTATTCAAGACTTTTCCTGCCGCGCAGACGCCAGTAAAGGGTTGATTACCAGGTCAAAGGTCAGGTGTTTGAAGGAAGAAAAGGTCGTGCTAGATCTAACCGCTTCCGGTCATCAAGTACAGTTTCGTATCCATGGCAACAAGACATTCAACGGCTCCCGTTGCCAGTGTTCGGCTGTCCACAAGTTCGGCTGCTGGGTTCGCGAGGCCAGCATCATCGTATTTCTGAGACCCGACGACAGCAGACAACTGTCACATAGATCAGACACCAGACCCGCGGCCGTGACTGTGTATGTGATTGTTGCTGCCGTTGGCGTCGTCGCGGTGGTGGCGGTGGCTGTATTGGTGTGTTTTAGCTACAAGGACGGATGCTGTCGGCGGGACGACGGTCGCCTAGCAACAGCCAATGACGAGCAGGCTGACAGACGGCTGATACACAGACCGGAAGCCGTGTCGCCGTACGCGTGCACGCAGATCGTGTAAGTCAACAGACCGTGACTTAGCCCCGTGTAAGTCAACAGACCGTGACTTAGCATCGTGTAAGTCAACAGTCCGTTAGTTAGCACCGTGTAAGTCAACAGTCCGTGACTTAGCACCGTGTAAAGCAACAGTCCGTGACTTAGCACCGTGTAAAGCAACAGTCCGTGACTTAGCACCGTGTAAGTCAACAGTCGTGACTTAGCACCGTGTAAGTCAACAGTCGTGACTTAGCACCGTGTAAGTCAACAGTCCGTTAGTTAGCACCGTGTAAGTCAACAGTCCGTGACTTAGCACCGTGTAAGGCAATAGACCGTGACTTAGCACCGTGTAAGTCAACAGTCCGTTAGTTAGCACCGTGTAAGTCAACAGTCCGTGACTTAGCACCGTGTAAGGCAATAGACCGTGACTTAGCACCGTGTAAGTCAACAGTCGTGACTTAGCACCGTGTAAGGCAATAGACCGTGACTTAGCACCGTGTAAGTCAACAAACCGTGACTTAGCAGGGCTAATATTTGAATCAAATGAAGTCACCCCTGCTGTGATTTCTTGAGCCGTTATAACATCATGATCCTTGAAATTCTACCGGGACCATAGAAGTATTTACCATCTAGAATATTTATTAAATGACATCAGCCATGCTATTATACTGTGATCTATTGAATGTATAGTGCCACTATAACGTGGTGTGATACCTGATTTTGTGCCGTGATCGTATGAATCGCTGTATTGCCTCGATCATTTGAACCGCTGTCGTGCTGTGATCATATGAACCGCCGTAGTGCCGTGATCATATGAACCGCTGTAGTACCGTGAATCTATCACATGTTCCTTAACAAAGTACTGACAGAATATTTCGAATTAGCACCAAGATAAAGCCCCTCAACTTAGTCATGACAAAGTACATCGACTTAGTACCCAAAGTACATTGACTTAGTACCCAAAGTACATAGACTTAGTACCAAGACAAAGTACATAGACTTAGTACCAAGACAAAGTACATAGACTTAGCACCTGAGTACCTTGGTCTAGGCACATTTCTCCGGGAATCCACGGCAATTTACAGGGTGCTAGTTACAATACTGCACAACATATAACATCAAGCCCCTTCCACTTTCCAGACTTGATGGCGCACAGAGCAAATAGAATGGATCGACTTCTTCGGCCTAAGTCTATGAATGGAATCGTGGTCAACATCCAGCCTTTGGATTACCTAGGTTTTCACCGAGCCCAAAGCTCTAATCCCATTCTACGAAAAACACGTTTTTAAAAACATCACACTAGCGCTTTAGCACATTTAGACCAGCTGGAGGGGGAGGGGAGTGGGAGGACCACCAAAACATTCGCCGAAGGGGAAATAACTAACACTCTTTAATATAGTTCTGTGTAATATTTTATTATTTCTTTTTAATCGTGTTTTATTAAAGAATATACTTTTACTCGGTTGTGTAAAATTACTGTGTGCTATTAATTTATAAAACATATTTTGTTTTTATTAAAAGGTAAACATTGTTTTAGGGTAAATGCTATAAATTAAAACCTTGATGCAAGTTCATTTAAAGAGAATTCATTTAAAAACTGCTTCGAAATGGTACCAATTGCATAATGTAGGCCTACCTGTTCAGTCACCTATCACAGGGGTCGGCAACCTTTTGAAGCGGAAGAGCCAAAAGTTACAATTTTTCAAAATTTCCCTCGTTTTAAAGAGCCACTAACATTTTTTTTTATTTCAAATATTTTTTTTTTATTAAGATTATTAGTATTTGTTCAAGGAGCTGGAGAGCCGCATCGTGGTAGCTAAAGAGCCGCATGCGGCTCGCGAGCCGCAGGTTGCCGACCCCTGACCTATCAGATGGAATATTTTTTTTTTGCAAAGTGTCATTGTTAGTCTTCTTTATCCAACATGATTTCAGCAAGAAAAAAAAAAAAAGATGGAATTCTTTTTTGCATCTGTTTGCTCTACTTTAAATTTTAAAACATACTTTTTTTCTAGCACAATTCAATTTAAGAAAGTCAACCGTCCCCCCCCCCCCCCCCGAACGAGATGGAATTTATATAGTAGACATACTTTTTTACTAGCGTCCGCCCCCCCCCCCCCCCCGGAGAAAAAAGCCTTGATGAAACACTGGACACAATGTAAACTACTTTAGCCTTTCAATTTGAAACTCGTACTAGTTTTAGAAACTACTTTGTTCTTGCACCATCAGCAGCTTGTTACGTTCCTAAAGATTTTTTTTTTGTTTTACACTATGTGGGCTAGAATCTAGCCGCTAGATCATACAAATCTTTCCAATACCAATAATTTAAAAATAATTTTCAAAAAGCTTCATTTGCCATAAGAGCTTGATTTATTTACTTATACACACTAAGGGGGGGGGGGGGCTGCGACCTCGGGGTTGTTACGCCACTGAACACAAGCTCCAAGCACGACAGAATAAGTTTCCTGAGAAAACAGAACTACTTGATCAAACGAGTTTTGTCAGAATATTTTCTCAGAAACCAAATCGTTAATCATTAGGTTATCGTTAGTCAAACATGAAAAGTAGGCCAAGGTCTTGCTCCGTTTATAGGACAAAAAAGTGGTTCAGGCTTAAGATCAGTCTCAGGCGGGAATTAGGGTTTGAGGTCGCTGATTATGTTGAAAGCGGTTGGTTACGTGATAGATTTTACAATTCTGCGATGAAGTTTATAGAAGCAGATGTTTTGAGTGAACTGATGGATGATACTATCTTAGACCATGTTGCCGAAACGATGCCCATCTTAAATGGTGGAAGGGGGAGGAGTTGACATCAACTTTGGTGGGTGGGGGGTGGGGGGGTGGGGGCTGACACCAACTTTAAAAGTTGCAAATTCTCGCAAATCATTGGATTTGTGTACATGATTACTTTAGTATAGTATCACTTGCTGAACAATGGAAGCCTGACTGAAGGAGGGGGGGGGGGGTAAGAGAGAGTCCAGATCAAATACGGGTTTTTGTTCGAATATAAAAAGATATATTCCTACTGTTTTTCCTTGTACCTTTAAACCCTGTGTTTATTGTATACCACCTAGAACCAACGCTGGGTGTTATTTCGTCCTACCTGCTTGCTGACATTTTTCCAAGTTTTTAGTTGATTGTCTCACTGTATAAAAATAAAAAGCTTTAAAATGTTCAGTTATTTCATTTTGATGCAACTATTTTTATTACACAAAACAAATGTATACACTTATAAAACGTTAAATTGTTTTCAAACTCCTGATAATAAATCATTTTGAAAAAAGGTTGCATTACTCATTCAAACGCTAGTACATTGGTATAAAGAAACTTGTTTTTTTTTTTTTGAGATAAGAGAGACAAGTACAGGACGTCGTGATGAATGAGGTTGTTTGTTTACAAAAAACACGAGAGTTGAAATAAAAGGAACAGTTTAATGGGGGGGGGGGGGGGGGGGGGTTTGGCTGGCTTGAAATGGATGGATCTGTTTTTTTAACCAATCGAGTTCGTGCGCTTTCGTTTGTTTTATTGTTGTGTGTCGGTCTGTGTCCCATATTTATGGTGTGTTATCATTTATGTGTTGTTTTGTCCCTCTGATGCTGTTTGTATTTGTGTCTGTCATGTTGTGTTTCTGTTGTGTGTGTCGGTTGTTTTTATCTCTGTCAATGTTATGTGTGTCTCTGTGTGTCAATGTTATGTGCGTCTATGTGTGTCTATGTGTGTCTATGTGCTTCTATGTGTATCTATGTGCGTCCATGTGTGTCTATGTGTTTTTCTCTGTGTCAATGTAATATGCGTCTATGTGTGTCTATGTGCGTCTAGGTGTGTCTGTGTTTTTCTATGTGTCAATGTAATATGCGTCTATGTATGTCTATGAGCGTCTATGTGTTTTTCTCTGTGTCAATGTAATATGCGTCTATGTGTGTCTATGTGCGTCTATGTGTGTCTGTGTTTTTCTATGTGTCAATGTAACATGCGTCTATGTGTGTCTATGTGCGTCTATGTGTGTCTGTGTTTTTCTATGTGTCAATGTAATATGCGTCTATGTGTGTCTATGTGCGTCTATGTGTGTCTGTGTTTTTCTACGTGTCAATGTAATATGCGTCTATGTGTGTCTATGTGTCTCTAAATGATAACTGTATGTAGTCACTGCGTGTCAATGTTATGTGTCCATGTGTGTCAATTGTATGTGTGTCTGTGCATTAATTGTATGTGTGTCTGTGCGTGTCAATGTTGTGTGTATTTGTCTCTAATGTATATTTTACTTGGAAATAACATAAACATACACATAAACAATGCTCACCTAAGCACATACTTTAATACATGTCATACATGATGTGCTGCACAGTATGAGCGCTTATACATCGGTGTGATATACAACAGTACAATATAAAACACGAGCTTTATAAGACTGGACTTAAATCACAACATTGAGAAAAGTGTGAAGAGCAATATAGTACATAGCTAGTTTTGTTCGAGCATTGCGTTTATTTGTTTCTTCACGGTGTTGTTGTTTTTGTGTGTGTAAGTAATACATTTTGTTTTGTTTTCTTTCCTGTTACTGTTATGAATTTGTGTATAGCCTATTTAATTAAATGTTAGGTAAAATCTCATTGTTACTAAACCGAAAAGTCTCGAGTTCAAACCCCCTGGCAGATGAAGCTCGGCAGCTGGGGGCAGCAACTCTTCTAAGAGAGACAACTCCAAAATTAAGAACAAAGAAGAAGAAGAATAAAATGTTATTTTGTTCGTATAATATTGTGATTCGTCTAAAAGCTTATAAAATTATGAAAGATTTTAAAAGCATTAGGCCGATTTACTTTCTACTTCCAATTTTTTAAAAGTATTATTTGTTGGTAAGTTTCTCACGAGATTGAAATGTGTCACTGGGCCACACCACGCCAACAACACAACAAAAATGACAGGATGAGTGGGGGAGGGGCGGTTTCGTTTTTACAATATTAGCATACAGGTAGGCACCTAACCTTTATTACTTAGCAGACGAAGTGTTAATTGTTTACGCATTTTAATTAAGGTACGAACAGATTTTTTTGGCTCTGGGTGCATAAACGACACAAACCTAGAACTAGTTGTGTGTTTAGTTGTTGGTTTAAATTTATGTCTCAGCATGATTGGTTGGTTTCTGTTTGTCGTTTTAATTCAATACGTTCATCTAACAGGTATGTCTATACGTTGATGTTAATTATAGTATAGAGCTGTTGCTAAAAACTAAGTTAAAGATAGCTCGTTTAAAATGTATATACATATGCAGGGACATATATATATATGTATATATATATATATATATATATATATATATATATATATATATATATATATATATATATATATATATATATATATGGACCATGTATTTATGATAAACAATATCTAACCAGAGGCGTAGCGAGGGGGGGGGGGTACAAATGTCCCCGGGCGCCGACCTCAGGGGGCGCCAAAATGGGTTGGAAAAACAAATTGAAATATCATTTTAGCTGCATTTTTGTATTAGAAATATAAAAAATAAATGGGGGGTTGTGCAAACATAAAATTACACTATAATTACACTATAATTACACTATAATTACACTATAATTACACTATAATTACACTCTACATCTGATTCAAAAAGTTTCTTGGACGTAAGAATTGATGTCATTTTTTTTGTAGACGGGGAATGAGGGGAGGTGTGTTCGTCTAAAGTAGACCTATGGGGTAGGGCCTGGGGCAGTGGTAGCAGCAGTGTTTCTTAAAGACTTTTTTCACCGGGGGAGGGGGGGGGCACTTGAAATTTTCGGGGGGGGGGGGGCGGTAGACTTTCTTCGGGGGGGGGGGGGCGGACACTGTTAAAAGTATATATTTCTATATAAATTATATAAATTTCATTTCGTTCGGGGGGGGGGGGGGGGAGCGGTAAAAAAATTTCGGGGGTGAAGAGATGCCTGGAAGTAACTATGGGAAGCAGTTATCTCAAGCTCCCACCTATTTGTGGACGTCTTAAATAGATAACCCTTAGAAAGCCACAAATAAACCATTGCGAATGGGTCTTTCATTACTGAATAATTTTAATTATGTTATAAAATATAAATATTACTTTTTAAAACACGTAATCATACACCACAGAGCCATATATTAAAACATGTAAACATACACCACAGAGCCATATATTAAACAGTAAACATACACCATAGAGCCATATATTAAACAGTAAACATACACCACAGAGCCATATATTAAACCATGTAAACATACACCACAGACCATATATTAAACCATGTAAACATACACCACAGAGCCATATATTAAACAGTAAACATACACCACAGAGCCATATATTAAAACCTGTAAACATACACCACAGACCATATATTAAACCATGTAAACATACACCACAGAGCCATATATTAAACCATGTAAACATACACCACAGAGCCATATATTAAAACCATGTAAACATACACCACAGACCATATATTAAACCATGTAATCATACACCACAGAGCCATATATTAAAACATGTAAACATACACCATAGAGC